ATATTTGACAGTGGCAATCAATCAAAATGCCTCAACGTGATTGGCCGATGAAATAGGCTCTCAGGCAGCTTAACATGCAAAGGTGAAGTGTCATAGGTAAATCTAGGTGGCTTAGAATTCCTTCGCTTTATTCCGATTTACGTAGCACTAAGTAACTAGTAACTTTTCTTACTTCTCCCCCACCCCCTCCCCCTTTTGTATGGCATGCTAGTCCAACGCACGTTTACCCACAGCATTAAATTGTCTAAATTCGCCATTTCTATTTACATATACACGTGGCAGAAAAATGGCATTGTGAGAACAAAGTGTATTGCCTAAGAACTGGGTCAGAACTGATCACAACTCAACACAGTGACTCTGGTCAGGTCTCAAACCAGTCCGCTCGATCCAGAGTCTAAAGCAAGCTAGAACATTAACCATATCGCCACCACTCTTCCTTCTATTGTGTTGCAACTACTAACCATTTAGTTGCTTTATGGCGATAATCCTGTTGGCTAATTGCCATTTAATGATAACTGGGCCTGAAGCACTGTAGCGGCAGGGGAGGGTCGCAGTCTGGAAAAACTTGACTATGAAATTTTGTGGAGGGCTTAAGATCTTCGGAACGTCTGCAAGAAGACAATCAGGAACCCAAGCATTAAGTGTACTGACCTAGAAATTATTTTATCCTTACCGACATTTTTAAATTTTCTTTTATTTCTTAAATTCCATTGGGTTTGTGAATTTAGCAGTACACAATCCCTTCACTCTCTAATATAGCTACTGGTCTAGTCTTCATTCAGATACAAAACAGCATACCGATTATCCTGTATCCAGGAAAGGCCCAGATAATAGGTTTAGTTGTTTAGTGCGGCATAGAGTGTAGCCGGATTCATATTTTGACTGAAACAACATTTAGTACCAGCAAGAGAATATGGTACCAGATGTAAGTTTTCGCAATCAATACAAGTCATAGAACAATGAAGCAAGGCTGGTTACTACGTGACAACTTAAAGCGACAACGTCTTGACAGAGTCCAAACTGAAAGCCAAGAATTGCAAGTATGGACAACTGTTTCGACCTGGTTGGGTCTCGCTAGCACGGTGTAGCGGCAAAAAGTAGAGCAACCGGCTTATGGACCAATAGACCATTTTTATTCTCGGTATTGGACTGGAACTAGCATGCAAATGAGGCTAACACGGGGAGTCTTTTCAATTGCAAATGACATTAATCTCTTTTAATGATATTTCCCCGCATGAGCGTCCATTGCAAGCTAGTTCCAGTCCAATACCGAGAATACGAATATGGTCTATTGTCTACTAAATGTACATGGTAATGGCCTTAGATGAAACTCAAATTCAAATGTTCCGGATTGGTCAATGTCACAAGCAAAACGCATGACCGTGAACAGTAGGTAGACTCCAGAATATCATGTCACTGTCGCGATAAGGAGATAGCGGACAGACAAAAACTGTCCCGCAGAAAACACACGGCAAAACCATGTTAAAAATGAGCAGCATATGGGATCTAAAAAAGACATACGGCCCAATAGAACTAAATTAATACAAATGATGCAAAGGACCGCAAACGAAACTTATGCTGCTGGTATGCATAGGATCTGTAAAAAGATCTGTAAAAAGATCAATAACTGATTAACGGACTCTTTATTTTCTCTTTCATACGGTAATGGTAATAGAGGATGAAGGGTGAGAAAATTGCACACCT